GTTCAAATCAACATGATGCTAAAAGACACTGCAGAGATATAGAATAAAACCACATTATATTTACTTGCTTAATTGTTCTTCGATGAATGATAAAAATAAAGTAAATAACCAGGTTTTACTTAGCTTTTAAGGTTCAAATACAGGCTATGTCGCACTCAGCTACTTTTTTTCCTTCGCTGTGATTCAAACGCATTACGTATCAAGAAAACGGATAAGGGGTTATCCGCTAAGGATGTCTATAGACTGTATTACAATGGGCTGTGTTCTGTCTTCCTACTAATTCGGCTTTGTTTTATTCTATTAATTATAACGAAAAGTATGTTTAACAGAACGCAATATGATCACTAATTGTTTCATCGACGAAATATCCTAAACCTGGCATAAAATCAATCTAAATGCTTAAACATGCATTCAAGTGCAGAGATAAATTGAGATCGATAAATATAACAGGTTTTCGGATTTTGAATTGTTTGCTTCGCTGAAATCTAAAAGAATAACAAGAAAAAGATGAAACAAAAAGTACTTTTTTCTTTCATGACTGAACTTTAATAGATTAAAAGCTGCATAGGTTTTGTTGACGATTGATCGACGATTTATCCAGCTCACATTTAATCATACATTTAAATCAGTATGAATAAAACTGATGTGTCAATATCAAAAAACGGTGAGCGGATCTTTTTCCACTAAGATCCCATGCAAAATAATAAAATGCAAAAATAAAAATAAAATTCAAGCAACAGCAAGCGTGAGCAGCAACAGAAGAAAAACTTAACTTACAAAAACACGAAAAAACCAGATTGTTGTGGTTTACCATATGACTTTCGTTGTTATTAATTTGTTTTCGTAAAAGTTTTTAGAGAAAGAATCAACAATGGAATTCTGTTCAGAAACTTTATAGGTTATACATCCGTTGAATGTTATAGTCTGATGATCTGATGAAACTTGTTACATTTTTGTGTTTTGCGTGTAAAATATCTTCAAGATACTGTGCAATTATCATAATTCCTAGACAAGGGTCATAAAAACCTTGCAAATTTCTTGGTTTTAGCCACGGAGCATTCGTTTCGAAGATGAGGCGCCTTAAAAGGTCTGTCTCCTTTTTATTTTGTAACCAATGTTTCAGTTCTTTATGAGTAGATTTATTATCATCGAATGTTATCGACCCATTCAATCCTATGTAGCTATTTGGGAAGAAATCTAGAAAACTAGAGATTATGTTTAAGTTCGCTTCGGCATTTACACAATGCCAACGAATAGGAATATCGATTTCTTTAATCTGGCTTTTCAAAATTTCTAGCATTGTTTCATACAAAGCTGACTGATCTCTGCAATGAAGCACCAGAGGAAGTTTGTATTTATTTGCTAAAATGACTTGAGCTTCGAATATGGGTATCTGCTGTTGTATACAAATATGACCACTAGTTTCGTCCAAACCACATTCGCCCAAAGCTACTACCTGAACACTCAAGCCTGGAAGATTCCTACTCTTGGCAGTTCCTTCTAAATGGCGCAAATCGCTTTCATTTTGAGCGTGCCTAATGTATTTCGGATGAATACCATATGTCTCAAGAACATTCAGCTTAGCACTCCAAGTTTGAGATTTCATATACCAGTTTTCTGGTTTAAACTTATTGCTGATAATGAACATGTTTCTAGAACAGCTTTTCCACTCACTGGAAGATCCACGAACTGGACTGCTTAAAATTTCATCGTAATGGCAATGCGCATCATATATCAGTGTGTTTAGTGGTAAGTGAATTTTATTTCCACACAGCAGATCGCATTCTTCGAAAACACTTTTACAACACAATGAGGTTATGGAAGACATCGAGCTGAATTAAAATTTGAAAGACTCGTCTGTCTGCTCTAAAGTTTGAGAAAAAGAAAAGGACTAAAGTAAACTATATACAAGAATAGTTAATAAGCATGCAGGCAAGAAATCTGAGAAACACGAATCCGTTCGACGAGCTATATGTACAATACGTACAGTAAGTAGCAGCAAGAAAGCAGAGGAAAGAATATTAAATAACAGTCTTTCGCAGTGTCAATCAAAACTAAACTTTGTGCATCAATTTGTCAGTGACAGTAATAGCTAATTGAGAAAGAGTCTTTCGTCGTGTTTTTCTAATTGAGAAAAAAACTAAAATGTAATAATGTCGGTGATAGGACGGCATTAAATGGTATTGATTTTTATTTACCTATTTGATATGGTCCAATCGGAGTGATGCCGGCATTTTTACGTGTTCATTTAAAAGAAATAATGGAAATAAACTCGGATAAATGAGCATGGTCCACTCAATATCAACGACAAAAACGATGTGATAGCACAAAAACGTAACATGACTATTTATTACACGTTTTAAAACTCTTGAAACGATTTTCGGAACGTACAATTGTAGGTGTAAACGACGAAAGAAAACTGCCTAATTCTTCATCATCTTCTTGTAATGCTATTCCACTTTCTTCCTCAGTATCTATTTCGTCAAAACTTTTTCTCCGCAAACTTACTCCTGAGCTTTCGCTTTCAGAATGCAGTAGGGTTGCATTTTCATCATCGTTGTCATCAAAATCGCACACTCCAGTTTATGCAAATGTTGCCATAGCAATTCGCTCACTTTCGTTCTGAAAATTCATTTCTAACATTCGAAAGAGTTTTTGCATCATTGTTAGCAAGGGGTTTTTAGCGGAATTTGTTGACGAGAAGTATAGTCTTGATAGAACATCATTTCCTTTCTCAACTCCTTGCAAGTTAAATGCTCAAAGATCTTCTAGGTCATCGAACTGAAATAAATGGTTACCAGCTATGTGTACATACAGTTGTTCGAAGGCCTGATTGCCGAAACTCTCTAATAAATTCTTGAGAAAGACGTTTCAAAGTGTTCTTGCATCTTGGTTTATCTTTCTTTACTTCGGCAAGAAGGTTTTTGAATATTCCTATAACTTTTTTTGCCGATTCGTTGATTGCTCCATTGCCCAAAACCTGAGCGAAAGGAAACTGATCAATAAAGAGCAACTCTTGCGAGTGTCCCGATAGTTTTCCGTGCGTTATAGTTATAGTTTTTATTTCTGGATCTATTTGGAAAAAAAAGCGTTTTCCTACAGTTTTTTCAGCATGCCTGTTAAGTATGGCAACTTTTTCCTCGATAATCTTTGTATGTTCGGCTCCATATTGTTCAGCACGTGAAGCGTGCGCCAGAATATCTTTTAAGAGCACGTCAAATATCCTCAGCTTCACATGTAATGTATTCAGGACATAATCTTTGAAATCAAACAAGTCTCCAAATAGTGGTTCGCACTTACACCCTAAATCGTTTACCTTGCCATTATGCAAGCAGTGTTTTTGTTCTTCTAATGAACGGGTTAGTTTAGTCACATCATGATATGATGTACCACTAATTTTAATTGTTTTGGTTACTTTATTTTTGCCTTTGCCTGTTGTGACAACTTTATCACAAGCGGTTTCTTTAGTTATATGAAGATCGTCTTTGTGCTGAGTACAGAATACACACGGATAATTTGAACTAAAACCGGGTAGGCCAAACACGTAGACAGCATTCATTAAATCGCCACCTAGTTTAAGCCTTACATCAAAGTCCTTGTGCTTATAATGTATTTGTTTAACTGAACGTATATCATCAATGAATTCTTGAGGAAGAGTTTTTCTCAAAAGTTCAGTATTTCTTTTTGTACTTCAAAAAGTCCAACGAGAATTAGATTCTTAGCTCTTTGACACTCACGCCCTCCTTCAACACAATTAATCGAAATTGCTACGATATGTTTATTCCCAATCAGAGTACCTTCCATATTGAATCGGAAGGTCAGTACATCTTGTTTCTCAAAATCAGCTACATGTTTTTGTGCTACGAAAATAACTGTTCTCACCGCATATTCAAATTTTACATATGCATTGCTTTTGGTGAAAATAACTGGAAATTTAGCATTTGTTTTATTTCTTAACTTATTAGTATCTTTGAGAGAATAAAGCTTTTTGTGAGTTTTATAAAATTTAAACATTGCTTTGAGTCCAGCATCTGTGATATGATGCCTGTCTTTTAGATGAAGAAACTCTCGTTTTGCTTCAGCAATGTAAGAATGTCATTTCTCATTTTTTCGACAAGGTTCTTCGATGACATCTTCATCTTACGGACGTTTCGTTCCCCTCATAGGGTATGAGCGACCGATTATTGCGTCTAGCTCGGTATCTGATAGGCTTCTTATAGGAGAAACCATAATATCATGAGCATCAATTGAAGATGCAATGGCGCATTATTTCTCGATATAATCTGAATCATTAAATATTTCACACCATCGATACTTTTCCTATACTGTAAGAAATCTGCTTTCAGCGATTGTACTACTGAGACTGTTTCGAAACTAAGCTTTGAACTCAAAACGTACTGTTCGATAATACTTGTCATTTCATCAATACAAACTGTGCCTATCATTTCATTTACTTCCAACGCTTTCTGGACGAATGAATAACTGTAAGTCAATTGTACAGAATTTTCAAGAAAACAAAGTCAGCTATTTGATCACAAATTTTTTGTAAATTTAAAGGTCTGACTGTAGTTGATAAGCAATGTTTAAAAAACGGGAACATACAATCTAAATTTGCTTCAGCAATAAAACCAGTAGAAATGTTGTATTCAAAACAAATGTTTTCTAAAACATGCACCGATAGTGGTAGATGTTGCATAATATCTGATGAGATATCAAATCACGGACATTCGAATGTTACGGTATCATTAATAACAGGTGATATAGAATTCGAGAGAATGTACACAGACAAAACTCTTGAAGGACGAAGTTTTTTCTTCGACACAAACAGAGAAACAGCATTTTGGCAAACTTTCACGATAACACTTTGAATTGCAGTTTGCCTATTCGGCTGCAATTCGCTGAAAACCTTAGATTGAATATCAGCTAACGCAGTGCTAGTCTGCAGCGAATCATGCTGTGTATTGACAGCTTGAAGGATGCTGTCTACACTCTTAAAAAATAACGTTTTCTCGAAAACTAGAAGTGGTTCGGAGAGTACAGTAAAGGATATTCGAACTCTCGAAAGCTCAAAAGACTTTTGAACAAAATGTTCGGAAACTGGAAGATTATCCATCGAAACCGAACAGTATTGTCAGAAGCTCTCGTTGAACCTAAAATTCCTTTGAAAACGGGAAGGGTACCCGAATATATCCATTTCAGTTTCCGATAATATCCTGTTCGATATCTGGAAATATTTCTGCAAAACTCTTCGGTTTTGGAATTTTTTTTGCGTACCTGACAGAACCCTTTGTTTTAACTTTTTTCATCTATGAAGCAAAGTTCAGTTGCATCACGAAAAGCAGATCGTTAGAATAGCTAGGATTGTTCAAAAATTCAGTGTTGTTTGTGACCACCCTCCTTCCCCGCACTTAACTTCAACTGACCCCTCAGTATATATGTTTTTACTCAGTTTTGTCTTCGAGAACAGAATGCAATGAATGAGTATATAATAAAGATAAAAAGTTTTTTCGCACATTTATTTTTGTTAGCTAAAAACAGAATTGGATGATTTCGATGTGAGTGATGATGACAGTAACCAGCCACTACCAAGAAAAGCTGGAAGAGTCGTACGTCCGAGAAAGACAAATTGTATTTTGCTTTTTGAACTAGAAACGTTAAATTGTTTCTAACACACCTCTCTTCGTTTTTCAAGTACTTACCCACACTGTAAAAAATAGTCGTATATTAATAAGCTATCAAAAAGGGTTTATTGAGACCAATAAACCTTTTAAAAAACGCTTTTCCGTTTTTTATATC